AGGTAGATGAGAGGGGGAGTACAGATAGATGAGATGGAAAACAGGTAGATGAGAGGGAACACAATCCAGTGATTGATATCATTAGCATCGATCTACGCAATTGGGATACGATGACATGCATCAACCAAGTCATGTTAGTCACCTCTTGAGACAAGCATAGTCGCCTCTTACGGCAAGCATGGGTTAATGAAGACGTGTCATGTGACTAGGTCCAGTAGCCAATATATGTTCTGGAAAGCTGTAGGGTAAGTGTTGTATGACTAGGTCCAGTATCCAATGTATGTTCTGGAAAGCTGTAGGATAAGTGTTGTATGACTAGGTCCAGTAGCCAATATATGTTCTGGAAGGCTGTAGGAGGACTGTTGTATGACAAGGTCCAGTAGCCAATATATGTTGTGGAAAGCTGTAGGATAAGTGTGGTGACTAGGTCCAGTAGCCAATATATGTTCTGGAAGGCTGTAGGAGGACTGTTGTATGACAAGGTCCAGTAGCCAATATATGTTGTGGAAAGCTGTAGGGTAAGTGTTGTATGACTAGGTCCAGTAGCCAATATATGTTCTGGAAGGCTGTAGGAGGACTGTTGTATGACAAGGTCCAGTAGCCAATATATGTTGTGGAAAGCTGTAGGATAAGTGTTGTATGACTAGGTCCAGTAGCCAATATATGTTCTGGAAAGCTGTAGGATAAGTGTTGTATGACTAGGTCCAGTATCCAATGTATGTTCTGGAAAGCTGTAGGGTAAGTGTTGTATGACTAGGTCCAGTAGCCAATATATGTTCTGGAAAGCTGTAGGATAAGTGTTGTATGACTAGGTCCAGTAGCCAATATATGTTCTGGAAAGCTGTAGGATAAGTGTTGTATGACTAGATCCAGTAGCCAATATATGTTGTGGAAAGCTGTAGGATAAGTGTTGTATGACTAGATCCAGTAGCCAATATATGTTCTGGACAGCTGTCGGAGGACTGTTGTATGACTAGGTCCAGTAGCCAATATATGTTCTGGAAAGCTGTCGGAGGACTGTTGTATGACTAGATCCGGTAGCCAATATATGTTGTGGAAAGCTGTAGGATAAGTGTTGTATGACTAGGTCCAGTAGCCAATATATGTTCTGGAAAGCTGTAGGATAAGTGTTGTATGACTAGGTCCAGTAGCCAATGTATGTTCTGGAAAGCTGTAGGATAAGTGTTGTATGACTAGATCCAGTAGCCAATATATGTTCTGGAAGGCTGTAGAAACTGCCATACATCTTGGTCCAGGAGTCTGTATGAGGAAGGAAGCAGAGAAAGTGTACACTGATTGGTCCGATTGATTTTAGGTTGTTCCTATCAAGCTTGTAAGTAAAACTATCAGGTTATGAGTTATTGTAATGTCAAGGTCATACTAAAGTATTGTCGAGGTCATTCTTGGCCCTGGGACAAGGATGCTGGTGAGCTAATAAACGTATAAATTTACATATTTTGTATTCATCTTCTCTTTGTGGGTTTTGGCTCCCATTGGTCAATACTGAAAAGTGTCACCTGTCAGTTAATAATTTAATAATATGATTTTCTTCGTGTGCCCTATTTTCGAACAGTTAAAACGACATTGGTGATATTTCGAGGGATGAGTGAACGAAAGCATACATCTGTGTTCATGCTGGTAGGTAATATATTCCACAATGGAATTCAGCTATATTTCAATATGAGTAAAAACATCCTCTGTATAAGGCTTGATCTTCATTGCCTTGCCTGGAAACTTCCACTACACTCGAGTGACGTCATCTGTATCTGAACACCTGATTGGCATGGTACTTTATCTGGGTATCCATGAAGAGCAGTGTTTGGGCGCACCTTTCGAATCATAATTCTTGTGGGTCTGCACTAATACTCAAAACATTACTTAAAGTTTGAAACCTATTTACAGAATATGAAAGTTTGTCAAATTCTAGTGTTCGCACTTTTTTACTCTTCCTTTTCATCATGACACAGGCACCAAAGTTCTGAATGACAACTGTTCTGATAGGTGTAGGGTACTTCACATACACCTAATGTTGATAGGCTGGAAGTGTGCACTGTCAGGTCAGCAGCTTTGGTGACCTCACACCTCTCATTATAGCAAGACAAATGACTGTCAATAAGGCTGTTCAATCACAGGTTTTGTTTGAAAACAGGGTACTCGATGACAAACATTAACATACAATTTATAAAAAAATGATTAAAACTATTTCATTTTACAATCAGCTAAAATATATTTAATGGGACAATATTCTTCTGTTACTTAGGGAGGCAGCAGCACAGTTGGTGTTTTAATGTAGATGTCGAATCTTATTGAAAATAAGGAAGAGAATATATGGATGTCAACTTCTTTATTATGAGGAACACAACGTTTCGGAGTATATTCTTACTCCTACACCTGATGAAGTTAACATCCATATATTCTCTTCCTTATGTGTATCACTTCTAAATGCCTTTCAAAGACCTTATTGAAAATGTTTCCATTTTATCTTTAGGTTTCTTCACAAGAGAGCAGGACTGTCCTGCCTCAGAATTAAGCACATTAAACTGCTCATTTGTTCATAGCCTCCATAAAAAGACGGCAATTATATCAGTGCATATGAACACTGAATGGGTTTTTCATCTCTGCAACCTTGTAATTTGTTGCTGGTACTAGTATCTGATGGAAAGGGACCTTCACCAACTGGTTGTGATTCTGGTAGGTTCTCTCTGGGGTTTCATTACAGTCAAAGACTTGCAGGAATCTCAAGATTGTATGCAGACTAGTATAGCTGTTGGCGCCATGCCTCATCCAGACCAATTTCTGTCCTTGTTTTATGGATGAGTCTGCACTAAGTTCTTTGAAAGTATTAAGAAAATTTAAAAAATAATATTTTATTGAAAATACCCTTGTTGTCATCATGATAGTTTTGTTTATTTTTTTTTCATTTGACACTTTCTGTTTTTGACAAAACATATATGATTCTCTTTCAAATTACATTTTGATTTTGTCATATTTGCCTCCTGCATCCTGCGGACCAGGAAAGTCTGCAAGAAATTTAAAAAATTAACCTGAACATTTGACTGACGTTTTTAAGCTAAACACAAAAATTGTCTTATGTTGTCCTGTCACTACTTAGGTGCATTCTTTGTTTTTACGTGCAACATGCCCTTTGCCAAAAGTTCTCCTTTGCGTACAAAAAACCCTTTATATATCCTTTATGTTGATAACGTGTGAGTGCATTCAGCAGCGTCTGTTAATGTCAGCATCTGCGTTCCTCAACAACGCATCATTTCACCAGCAAAATGTGTATTTTCTCCTAGTTGTGACAGGCCGCATGAGCTACATCATTTAAACAATGCTTTTGTTGTTAAAAAAGAATGTTGGCTCTAAATTCCTGCCAGAACTCTTTTTGTAAAAACTTTCTGACATTCCTTGCATTTTTGAATAATTTTGTTTCCCCATGTGAACAATTATTTATTATTCTACACAAATTTGGAAAATGCCTGATTCTGATTGTTCAATCCGAGGTTTCAAATCACAGTAACCACCTGTGATTGAAACAGCTGGTTATTTGGTAATAGAGATGAGTATTTGATTTAAAGAAAGAAAATTCTAAGAAGAAACCTTGTTTAACCCAAGTGTATTTTTGTTTGTTATGACGGTAATAACATGTAATTAACATCTTGTTTGTATATACACATGTGAGCTTACATGAAATCTAATCAATACATGATAGTGTTCTGACTGGTGGGAACATATACACTAAGACCATGCTTTACAAATAGTTCCATTCTTCCAATTTCCTTCCTTACCCAATCCTATATTTCCAGAAGATTTAATTTATCTCCCATGTTAGAACAAAGATTGAGGAAATGACTTACCGAATTCGATGTAATAGGCGCCCAGGGCGCTGTCAAAATTAGAAATAGGCGCACTTTTTAGAATATAATTTTTGTGAAAAAAACACAGAGTTGAAAGATCATAAATTTCGTGCTTTATGCTGACAGCCTGAAATGATACATAAGAAAAGTCTGTGCGTATCATACACAACAATTTTCCAGAATTTAATTGCTCATAATAAGGATGCATATGGATCACACGAGTATGTATTATACACAAATAAATAAGTCTTGTGTACATTGATCAATTGGAAGGGGTGTTAATTGGAATTGTTCACTAGCAAATATATTAGCAAACATTGCCGTGGGCGCTTATTAGAGAGGGGCGCTTATTACATTGAATACGGTAAACAGTCACTGGTATTACTGCTACATGTATGTCCTGTATTTGACTGGTTGTTGTAGACACCAATTGGTTGAATAGCCTTTTCAAAAGAAATTCGAGACTCTGGATTCTGAATTCTCATCATTAGGGCATCAAAGAGCTGATATACCATGACTGGTTACCCAATGTCAAGGACATACTGGATTTTGACCTCCGTAATGTCATGGCTAATTTCAATTAGTTTTCTTCCTTAAACAGCTGACACTTGATCAGAATGCTTTTTTATCTCCCTTGAATAGGTGTAGTATGTCCCTCCCTCCAGGCTCAGTTCACATGACATTGATTCACTGGGGAGAGGTTTATCATCTGGTATTCCCAGCTAAGTTATTGTTCAAGGAAACAGGAGATGCCAGACTTAAGCCATTGCCTTCCAACTCTGATATTGGCCTCCATGGACTTGGAACCACAATGTGTTTTCAGGTCTCACATTGTTTTTCAGCAAAATGTTGTATTTTCTTTTTCAGGTGTTGACTCAATGCTATTTATGTCCAGCAACAATTTTGATTTCTGGCTTTTCAAAACATAATTTGGCCAATGGATGTTTTCATGAGTTTTTTTCAATATTGTGTTTGATCTTTTACTTGAGAATGTCCATTGTAATAATTTGGGGATGCACACAAAATATACTCTGTGAGCAAAATTCTTTTACTGAAGCTTTCAAGAACGACATAAAAAATCTTTTATCGTTGTAAAACGGACGAACAAAGTTTTGTGTATTTCTTTTGTCTATCATTTGACAGTTTCCCACTCAGAGATTTGCACGGAAAGCCTCCTCTGCCAGCTCTCTGCGACTTAGTCCGCCAAAGGTCAGAATGACCTTGAGATGGTGAAATGCATTATGGGGCATGATTCTCTTTTGCATGATTTTTATCTCCTTTTTTTATTCTGTTGTAATTGAAGTGAGAGAATTTGAGCTTTGATCCCCTGTGTGATATGTGGTAGCTAATGCTTTTTGATCATCCGTAGTGTCTGGGGTAGTATCTCATATTCCGCATACCTCACAGGTAGTGCCTACATTTCCTACCTTTTTATATTTCACATCTTTGATGCATGCCTTTGATGTTAAACTGATTTAAAAAATATTTGTGTGATTTGTATTGATGCGACAAAACATTCCATGTCTTATTGATATGGAGTAATAAATAGTGAAAGCCTTCGTTTCAGCTTCTTATTTATGATGAATGTATAATAATTGCTAAATTTTTTAATGTTGCAAGATGTCAGCTGAGTTTGGCGTCCTATGTTAACACCTTGTGTTGTACTGAATTGGTACTAGATTCTCTTATTGTTCTACATGCATAATGGCCAGTTAAACCTGCAGGAGCCCGTCATGATTATCTAGTGAGTGAGTGAGTTGGGTTTAACGCTGCTTGTAACAGTATTCCAGTTATAGAGTCGCGGCACCTTTGATGAGTGGGCCACCCGTGCCTCCCGATTATCTAGTGGGAACTACCGTATTGGTATATTTATTCTATTTCAATAGTTGTATCACTATTGCTCTGGTTTGCCTGGTCCAGACCTCACCACAACCTACTGTCCTATCTATATATAAGATAGCGTTTGCAGTGATACATATTCTATGATCATTCTTGTCTGGTAAACTGGTTCAATGATTTAGATATTACAACCCCCCAAAATTGAATGTTTTACAGTGCAAATATCCACTTTTGATATATTTAAGTGATGTAAAGAATTTATTATTTTACTAGGTCGTGTTCTACAAGGAAAATCTCAGAACTACAACACTTTAACATAACCTGATGATTGTTGTAGCACTAAGATATTTCTTCCGAATGCATAGAGGAAACATCAATATCAGAGGTACAGATATCTGAAATTGGTATCAAAATAATGTTCTTAAAAAACATTCATTAATTTGGATATTATTCATGACGATAAGTGTAAGATCTGTTTTGACTGTATTGTTCCCTTATTGTTGAAGTCTGAGAGTGGCCTCCCCTGATGGCCTTCTCCACCTGTGACCCTGCATGTAGAGCTCTCCATGTCCCATCTTGTCCTTTCAGGTGTTTGTGGCATCAGGAAGACAGTAAATATGGGACAAGCTTTCAGTCTGTGTGACTTCCCATTTTACTGTGTACTGTAATCCTTCATATTCACTCACTCACTTGCAGACTTACTCACTCACTCACTCACCCTGTCAACTCATCTGCTGCACTTTGCTTTGTTTCACTATTGTAGTGCAAATCTCTTTCAAGATGTTATGTGCAAAAAGTCAATTTCTTGAAATAACATTGAATCAGGCAAATGGACCCATGAAGATCCACGGTAGAACAGGTCTTCAGCAACCCATGCTTGTCGTAAGAGGCGACTAACGGGATTTGGTGGTCAGGCACGCTGACTTGGTTGATGCATGTCATCATATCCCAATTGCATGGATCGATCAATCACTGGATTGTCTGGTCCAGAGTCAATATTTACAGACCGCCATCATATAGCTTGAATATTGCTGAGTGCGGCTTAAAACAACAAACAAACAAAACATGCAAATGTTAATGAAACGGGTTATTATGGTATAGTGTTTGACCAAGTGAGTATGAAAGTGACAGTAGTCCAAAAACTTATTCTTGCGAGGACTGTAAACTTGTGTTTTCCGACTTGTATTTCCACAACTACCTAAGCCCTTTGCAGTGCAGGACACATCAGTGTTCCCGCTGGCTTTGGAAACTGCCAGTCCTTGTGGACCTGCTACACTGAAAATTACCAGTCCCCCTAATTTTTTTCAATCCTGACTTTCAACAAATAAAAAAACATGAAAATTACCTGGATTGAATTCTTTCAACATCTGGTTCAAGGCAATGACGTCATCTCTGAAATAACTTAGTTAGATCGACACGTCATTCACTCAAAGTTCAATCACACTTTTCTCTCTTTTTTTTTAATATTTCGAGACTAAGTCGCTGCAAATAAATATTTAACATCAAAGCAAAACGAAATGTTATTTCCTTGCACTAAAAATATACAAGGGGAACCCTAATGGACAGACAAGGTGACTTTATTAAAAAATATACTTATATGAATATCACTGATGTTTTGTTCAACAACAAAGATTTATAAAGTACTTTATTTCCTGGTCCACAGGGACTGGCAGTCACATGATTTACCGGTCAAAGCCTAATTTTGCCAGAAAAAAAATGGTAATTACTTGTAAACAGGAACTCTGAAACATATTGGTATTAAAGAGGTGTGGTCACTACTGTGTCAATAAAATAAGTTTCCTCTGTTTAAACTATTGGGTGCAATGCTAGCATTTGATGTATTGAAAACCTTGATTAATCTTGGGTTTTACGTACAAACAAAATTTCATACCATTCCTACCTTCAAACTATGCCTACTCTGAGAAGGAACAGCTCCCCAGTAACCCATGCTTGTTGTAAGAGGCGACCGGATGGATCTTGTGGTCAGACTCTGTGACTTGGTTCATTGAGTGTCATCGTACCCCGATAGCGTGGATTGCTACTCATAATACCAATCACTGGATTGTCTAAATCAGACCTTTTTTTTTAGGCCGCGGTCCTAAAACTGGAATATTGCTGTCACGAGAGTGTCATTAAACAACAAAGAAAACATAAAACTTCATTGACGTCCCTAATTGCTATTTGATCACTATATGTAAAAAGTAGCCTAATAAGAGCATGAGATACGTCTAAAATAATAATGGTCAAATACCTGCTAGGAGGGATTTCTTTCTTTATTCGTAACAAATCAAATTTGACATTTGACATCAAACCAAGCCAGCATCTGTGTGATGGTGAATGTAACTTAGCTTCTTCCTATGCTGAGAATCCACAAGATGACCCAAGCAGGAGTGATATAACGTGGAAGGATGCTGCAGGACTTGTGGACGTGCTCTTGCTCCTCCTCACGTCAGTTCAGTCTTGCTGATGTCAGCACTGTATTTTACTGCTGCTTCGATCAGTTTTTGTTGGTTTTCTACCCAATCTCTTGGTCTGCAGTATTTATGCAATATTCAAGTGTATTTTGTACCAGACATGACGGAGTAGTTTTTAATGAAAGACTTGTCCTGTTGTAGTAGGTGTACGAGCAGCTGAGGGAATTAGTGTTGAAATGTTAGCGTCGTGCTGACAACGTTAAATAAAGAAGCTCTAACATTCTTGTCCCTAACTCTCTTTGACCAAACATATTTCCACTCAGCACTTCAAGCCACTACTGGTTTTCATTTCAAAATGATAAAATAATTATACTTCACATCTAAAATAATTGTACCTCACATATCTGTTTATAAGATTTGATCAGAATTGGGTTGAAAACAAAGTCATCAGGGGCATGTGTTTGTGAGAACAACATCATGAATTGTTTTCTTTGTCTAGATTTATTAAACATCACATAAAAATAGAACTTAAAAAGCTTGAATAGTTGGAAATACCAATGAAAGTTCTTAATTGTGGCATGTGCAATTACCTATGAATGTACTTATGGAAATACTTATGAAAGTACTTACCGTATTCGCCGTAATATGTGCCAGGGACTTAGAAAACTGGGAAAGGGGGTGCTTATTAAAACAGAGAGTTAAATTTGTTGTCAGATATCGAGCAAGATATATTGCTTTTCAACGCTGCAGTTGTCTGTAAATAATCTGCATTATGCACAAGAATATACAGATTGGCATGTTAATAACATACAGATTACTGATTGGTTTTGACTTGGTCAGGAGCCGAACACTTAATATGGCGAATACGGTAACAGTAGAATATGGAAATATTTATGAAAGTGCTTGTGGAATGTGGAAATACTTGTGGAATTACAGCAGTAGTGTTGTTAATAGACAAGTGATTGCTTTTGTTTCTCTTCCAGTGGTGAAGGTAACCTGCAGGTTCTGTGTTTCTTCATGTCTTCAGTACATTGTGTATATTCGCATGCCTTTCTCAGTATTTTCTTTTTGATATAGATGGAAGTTGGATGATTGTTCTTGGTATAGATTCGAAGACGTCCGTTGTGACATGGTTTCTGTGTTTATTTCAGTTAGACAGATTGTTATGGTTGCTCATGGAATGTCTTCACACAGAATATGTTGTTGCAATATTAATGCAATATTCATACCATATCAGTCTGTGTACCAGTAAAACAGAAGTGGAAATCAATATATTGAAGTTAAATCAATAGATCTTGTGACTCTATGAATCACCAACTTCTAATGGCTATCAAAGATATGATCAGAAAACTTATGTTCCGGAATGGTTAAAGTACCCTTTTTTTGTCTCCTTTTCTTTATTGATTTCAAAATACAAGTTGATCAAAGGGAGATAACTCTTCAAGTCTTTAAAGTTAGATTGATTGGAGAAAATTATTTGGAATAATATCACATGCAGAACCTTTTAGGAACTATACATTTAAAATTGTAAATTAATGGGTAACAATTATGTAATCCTTTTTGGAAGTTTAGCAAATATTCTCGTTTTTACATAGAGCAGTTATCCTTTTTCTGAAGTCTTTAATAATTCCTTATAGTCTTATTTTCAAACATGATTGTCGCTCCATTGCTCAAAGCAATCTTAGCACTATGTCTAGGTGTTAAAGCTAAGATTTCTTTGGGGAACAGCGCTGGACCATCATGATGAAACACAGTTGATAAAGTGATTGTGTTCTATGTATTTCAGAGGATTCGCAGTAAAGGGGCTTCAGCTTCATCTCCAAGCTCCCCAGTCCACCAGCGCCAAAACCCCCCCGACGGCGCCTCGCCATCATGTGACTACCCTGACGGGCCCGTGTCGCGATGTAGCCCTGGGCGTCACCCCATCCCCCACACATGCCCCACCCCCGAGCGCGAGGTCCATCATATGACGTCCTTCAAGCCCCCAGATGACGTCATGGACCGCAGCGGTTATCGATACTCCGCCATGATCAAACCGCCATCAGAGAATTCTATGTATGACAATGTTACGGGTTCTAGTCTGCAGAGGTCTTCCGCAGCTCAAGACAATAGAATATTACACAGGAAGTCTCTGCCAACATGCTCATCCGCCACGTCCTCTCCAGTTCGGAGTTTGGACGAAGGGCGTCCAGCTTCCGCTATTTCTTCAATCACTCTGGACACATCGGGGAGTCCGTGCCATTCCAAAGGTCAACATAATGTGGAAATGTTTGGAAATGGTGTTGTAATTGTAGACCATGTTAGTATAGACTCGCCAAAACGAGACAATGTGCATATAGAAACAGCTTTTGTAGGTGATGTAGGCAGTGGAAGTAGTCGTCCTACTAGTAGCATGTCGCAAGGAGCACGCTTGACGGTGGATACATCCGCACCAGGTGCGTCACGGAACACGTCTTCCTCTGAATCTCCCGAATGGCCTTCACCTCCAGAACCCCTAACCCCCCAGACTCCGTTGACTCCTTTATACAACATGGAGTTCGACAGCGACACCATTCAACGCATGCTTCGCTCGCTTCCTGCTTCTCCCGTCGAGAAGGATGACCAGGGGTTCCACGATGACCCCAACTTCCACGACGGTCCTGACCACCAGGGCTCCAGAAGAATGAGCGGACTCACCAGGACGAAAAGTCTCAATGTGCATGATCGCAATTCCCGTCTTTCAATGCGCACCAAGCCAATGCCAGAAGAGCCAATACACATCCCGGTTACCAAACTCCCGGAAGTACCAAAGTCCAAACAGCTGGCCAAGATCCTGATAGAGCAAGAGCTCCTCCTGCGGAACCAGTGTGCTGCCAGCACCTACCCAGACAGCGGCATTGGCGGCATGGCCGGAGAGACATCAGGGTCGCTTATGTCCGAAGACAGTGGGCGCTTGGCACAGTTTAAAGGTAGGATGACATTTTTCTTTTCAAATTTTGTGTTAAAGTCGCAGCCTGGGTGAGACACTATGTTTGGACATTGTTCAAGTAATGTTTTGGTTGCTGCTGTAACTAGCTGTGCAGAGTTCAAATGTCATAATCCCCCTTATCATGAGTTTGAATCCCAGTTATGTCAGCACCATACATGTTCCTCTGAGTTTCACAAATCACAGGAGGAGCTTTCCTCAAGTTGAAATGGTCGGCTTTCAAAGCTGCATTAAACCACACTAACTTCCAGAAAGGATCAGAATCCACTCTTTCTCCTTCAGCTATACAATGGCGCCAATGGACTGTCAAAAATGGCACATGCTGATTTGCACCTTAATACAGAAAGATATCTGACAGTCTACTAGCCAGACTTTGTTTGATATCACCAGGTCATGAGACATTGTACTTGACACAGGCTTCTGACCATTGGATTTATTCGCAGACTGCTTTGATTTGTTAAATGTCCATAATTTGTGCATAAATATGAATTCAACCTTAACATGTATCCAGGGAATTATAGCTCTGGCCCTGTATCTGCAAACATCACGATATACAGTGTCACCCTGGTGTTTTATGTTTCGGAAACAGGCCATTAATTCCAACTAAATCACTCCTGGCACGGTTACAGTGGTTGAGGGTGAATTAAACCTTTCATTTCACAAACTCAAAGTACCAATAAAAGTTGATTTGTTTTGAAAACTTCTAAGAAGTGTTTACCCAATAAGGATGAATGGTATTGCATGGCCAAAAAATGTGCAGATCAATCGCTGTCAATTATACACTTGATGGGGATTTCTATAGACGAAGATGAAGGAATAGTGGATAACATTTTTATGCCTTGCCCCCAGGCTGCTGGGCTATGAGTTGACAAGATTTACTTGTTTTTCATCCATTTTTTATTTTGTTAATATTGATTTAGTCATTGAGAATCTTAAAAGCATTTCTCTGTTTTGCAACAAGTCTCCCCACTGCACAGTGGCTGCTTTCTGTGCCCCTGCCTCTGTCCAATCATGAGTGGCCGTAACATGTCTACCCATAAGCCTCGCTGTTCGTTATTCCGATCTGATCACCAACGTGAATCATAATAGTTGTATGGAAAATATGACAGCAGCAATTCCTGCGTGTGAGATGGAATATTTGGCTGTCTGCCCAATGCCTTGTATAACTGCTGTTTATGTAACTGTCATAATTCTTCAAGACACTAATACATTGTTGTAAGGAAGATATTGTTTTTTCACGAAGTCTGATCTCTGTCTTGGAATTGCTTGTCTGTTTCTTTCTTCAGAGAATAAAGTTTGCAGACTTCATTAAGTCACTCAACTTAACAGATATTGGCAGAAAACATTAATATTACAAATAATGTGTTATTTCAATCATTTTGAAAGAAATAGTTTCTTTATGCATGTAATTTTTAGATGATATACAGTAATCATTTCAGTAAGCACAACTCACCTACACCATGCTCCAGTACCGTATACATCCTAAAAATGTGCCCTCTTCTCAAATACCACTATCCCCACCTTTGCAGCATGGGGTGGAATCCCTGCTGGTCTTGTATTTGAAAAATAATCTGTCCTAAGCAATATCTAAATGATAAAAGAGCAAGCCATGGTATTTTTTTAGATCAGGCAAGAACAAGGTCTTGTTTCACAGACTGTCTTGGTTACCATGGCAACAGCCATATGTCAAAAGACACCATGTTGTCATGGCATCACAAAGTGGAAATGGTTGATATAAAAATCCAAACAGTGCTTATGATTTCAGTATTTATTTGTTCCATTATGACATCAGTTGATTATTTTTATCTATATGCAGATTTATTTTAATAAAAAAGTGTTGATGATAAAAATCATTACAACAATAAACTTTCATCATTTTTCGAGTGGTCTCTTAAGGTATGCTCAACATGGTAGCATTAAGATTAGATCAAACAGGTACAAACAGAAAGTGCTTTGTGTAATGTAAGAGTTACCTCCCTTCCAATATCGACCAACTTTGTTTTTTATATTAGACGTAATAAGCGCCCCGCTCTAATAAGCACCCGCGATATTTGCTAATTATATTTGGGTAGTGAACAATCTCAATTAGCACCCCTTCCGATTGATCAATGTAAGACTTATTTATTCATGTATGATACGCACTCATGTGTTATATGCATCCTTAATTATGGGCAATTTAATCCTGGAAAAATATATCTGTCTTATATAAACATTTCAGGCTGTCAGCATAAACCACGAAATTTACGATCTTTCAACTCTGTTTTTTTTTCACCAAAATTTTATTCTAATAAGAGCCCCCTATTTCTAATTTTGAGAGCGCCCTGAGCGCTTATTACGTCGAATACGGTACTAAATGTTTTAAAGAAACTCAACTGGAATAAGAAAAAAACATTCTAAAAAAAAATGATGCCACATTTAAGAAATGTTGGATTTGTGGGTCTGTAAACAAAGTAATATTTTTTATGTATTGTATGTGATGTTACAGATAGGCTGTCACTGTCACTCCCCAGTATCACAACCAATCACAACCAATCAGAACCAATCAGAACACAAACAGAACCAGTGAGACATCAGCAGTGACATCATGTCAGTGTGAACTGTTGTCCCCAACATGGAAAACATTTTCACAATCTATCAGTCTGAGCATAACATTGTGTTTGGGGAGCGGTTGATGTGATTATCGCACAATCGTCACATCCCCCACCACAGCCTAATCTCTGTGCTTCGTCCTTGAGAGAGAAAAAATTGATTTTATTTTTTTGTAAAACAGGTCTTTAGAGAGTGCCATAATGGAAGCCACATTGATTTGCCAATAGAGGAGATTGCTGCAGTTGTGCAGATTCTGCAGAATATGCACTTTCGGTGTATATTGCCAGACATTAGCTGGGAGGCAGTATTCCCATATTGCCCCGCTTATTGGGGAAGTTTGAGGTGAAGGGAATTACGAGGTGGAAAGGTTCGCCATTGTCTTAATGACTGATCTGCAGTCCTGTTCAGATCTTATTTCTGTTTGGATGTAAGCTGATTAGATTGTGGCATTGCATCTGATCTGACACATACTAGGAATGAAATGGAGATGCTGGGTTAGTACACATGTGTAGCTGGGAGATAATTGGCGAGAAAATGTGATTTATACATCTAGAAACTGCACAGGCAACAGAAATGATATTATTTTGGATTGATAATCAGTAAATCAGTGTAATTGGAGATATGAAATGCTGAAGTTATGGTTTATGGGCAATTATCTAGGCTGTATTCACTTACACCACAAGTACATAATTGGATTACAGTTCAGCATTGGCAGAACACAGAATACTGAACTAAAGCTGGGATTTCTGAAAGTGCATGGGCAGTATTAGGAATTTTATTTAATTTGACTTCATATGGAAAAAAAATTCCCAAAACGGAGATGTTCTTCTACACATTATTGGGAGCATTCCTAACACAGACATATTGTTAAAGCTAAAATAGATTTGCAGGTGTTCTTAAAGAAATCTTTGTCTCTGTTTATGATTAACCTGTGTCCTGTGAGAAGGTCTTCAGGAAATCAGCTGATCACTGTGTGGAGCTTGTGGGTTACATTGTACACATAAAACTGTCAGAATCAGATGTGTGCATTTATGAAATGGAGTCATATTTGACACAAACTTAAGCTTACCAAAATCTTAAAAAATATGTATGTAGACAAGATATATGAGGATTTGCAGTCAGAAGAGGTCCCCAGTACCTTGTTAATGTCAGGACAGGTCCCCAGTACCTTGTTTATGTCAGGACAGGTCCCCAGTACCTTGTTTATGTCAGGACAGGACCCCAGTACCTCATTTATGTCAGGACAGGTCCCCAGTACCTTGTTTATGTCAGGACAGGTCCCCAGTACCTTGTTAATGTCAGGACAGGTCCCCAGTACCTCGTTTATGTCAGGACAGGTCCCCAGTACCTCGTTTATGTCAGGACAGGTCCCCAGTACCTTGTTTATGTCAGGACAGGTCCCCAGTACCTCGTTTATGTCAGAAGAGGTCCCCAGTACCTCGTTTATGTCAGGACAGGTCCCCAGTACCTCGTTTATGTCAGGACAGGTCCCCAGTACCTCGTTTATGTCAGGACAGGTCCCAAGTACCTCACACAGGTCAAGAGCCGACTCCAACAGCAACTGGATGGTCAGGCTCTGTGACATGGCTGCAGGTGTCAACTTGACCTGATGTTGTAAGTTGGTGCTCATGCTCCTGATCACTTGTTTATTAACAGGCTGCCATGATGCAGACTGGAACAGGGCTGACAGCAGCACTCACTCTCACTCACTCACTCACTCACTCACTCACTCACTCACCCACCAACTCACTCGGTATCAGTGTACAATATGAACAGTCAATACAATAAGATATCAGTTACAAGCAACTGTGATCAGGCACCATGGAAATACATGACATCGTTACCATGGTAATATAGTCGGTCCTTGTTCAGCTCTTGGTTATTAGACTGTAACAAGGTTGTAAGTCTAGACCACACCTCTGCGTGGAGGTTAATGGGTAGACAGTATTATGATGCATATCGGTATGTAACCTGACACAGCGATCACAGCTTGAAGTCTGGTGTTCTAGGGCCCAGCTCAGGGACTGTCCTCATGTAGCCTTGCTCCAAGGCTGTACTGAAAGAAATGTCCATGGATATGTAGTAATTCTATCCTCCTAATAGGCAAGTCTAGATATGTGGACAGAAAGGACTCCAGTCTCTTATAAGGAAAACTTGTTCTTATTATTTACATCATCTAGAAATTTTGATTTAACTAATAATAATTGTATCAGAGACTTGTGCAAGTGTAGACCTCATGCAACAACTGCTATCTGAGAAGGCCTCTGTTGTCCTGTGATTGTTGGCAGTAATCAGCTGTGATGGTTTAGCAGTGGGGATTATTTATGGGGCATCTGTGGAATTGATCTGTGAGTGTAATCACTCATACATTAGAGTTATATTGTTGGAACGATT